TTCAAATAATATGAAACCATACTGTATTTGACTTAGTCGTAATTAAATAATTCAAAAAAATAGTGACGGAATAAATTTAAAAGGTTTTAACGGATAAACGGCTCCATCGATCGAGCTCACTCGAATATAAATTACACTTTTATAAACTTGATAAATATCTCGCTTCTAGGGTATATAATATTCATTCGCATAATGTTGAGCTTTATGAGACAAGAGTAAATATGTCAACGTATCGTCGAGCTTATGTGAACGTCGCTCTACCAAGACGCGAAATTACTGCAAATATTTATATTGAAATAAAATTTGGCTTTCGGATCACTTCCTATTAAAATGTTTAAATTATGGAAGCTAAAATGTACTTTATCAGCTTATAAATGTTCGCAGCTTGATATGAGCTTAGTACAGAAATCAAAAAAAATAAAGGAAAAAAGATTTATAGAAAGAGGTAACAACAGACACAAAATAAAAAAAGGCAAAGGAAAAACAGAAAACAAAAAAAAAGGAAAAAAAGGACACCAAAAAAATAAAATTTATTATTAATTTAGAGAAGGAAAAGAGGGTCTTAAAAGACAAAAACCACCCCCCGCCCTTTGAAAACGCCGGTTTCCGAAAAGGCCTCAGAACCAGAGACCACATACATACCTTGCCAGATTGTTATGAAGACCGAAGAGTACAATTTGCCACTTTTCCTGGCGTACGTATATATATTTTGTATACTGTGAGAAAGCCTTTGATTCCGTTTAAATTTGGGCGGTGCTACAGTCCCTTCACCGATGCCAAGTTGACTGTCGTTATATCGAAGTGCTGAAGTATTTGTACAGTAGAGCTACGATGGCTCTCCGAGTACAGAACCAGAGTTCGAAAACTATCCAAGTGCAGACAGGTGTAAGACAGGGTGGTTATATCCCTGAAACTCTTCACCGCTGCATTTAAAGACATTTTCAAGCTACTGGACTGGAAAGGATACGGTTACGGATTAACATCAATGGCAAGTACATCACTCACCTTCGATTTGCCGACGACATATGTATAATAGGTATAGATAGGTACGTTGTTGGTATTCAAGAAGTAGAAGGTACCGGAAAGGTAAAAAAGTAGGACTATCTTATCTACAAAAAGAAATGAGATGCTATCAAAAACATAACTTGTAAAAAAAAAACAAGTTTCGCAACTGAGTTCTTCTACCGTAAAAAGTTTTGAGTTCCATGTCGGTTAATTTATTCCAGTCCCTACATAAGGGTCCTTCTGTTTTAAGTTATTATGTAATTAGCTAACCTAACAACATTTTATAGTGACTATATCAATGTTAAAATCTTATATGTTTTAAATATATAGATTAACTTGGCAATCGCACTAAGTAATCTAATTTAATATAATATGTATTACTTGGGAGATACATTGTGTTTTCTTGCGATGGCCAAGTCAATCTATCAATTTGAAGCATTAAAGATTTTTAATATTGATATGGTCACTATAAAATGTCGTTAGTCTGTTAATTACGTAATAACTTAAAACAGAAGAACCCTTAAGAAGGAACTGAATAAATTAGCCGATTTAGTATTACATGGATCTCACAACTTTTTACGGTAGAAGAACTGAGTAGCGAGACTTTTTTTTTACAAGTTATGTTTTTGATGGCATATTATTATTTAAAGGTAACTACCATTTTATTTGAAAGCCCTTAATTTATTAGTTTTATGTCCTATAGAACTGAAAATTAAAACTACACACACTTGGCATAATGTATTTTTCAGTCCATCTTGATGTTTAATCAATACGTACTCGTATGTCCGTAAATATTGTTTGCACTCAATAGATTCTCCGTCATGCCAAACTCTAATTTCAAATGTCAATACAAACAACGTCGGGCTGCATTGAACTGCAACAAAGCTTTACAATTTAAATGCACACGTGTCAACAAGCCCTATACTGAAGGCATGGGTAGTCTACCCCATAATATTATGCTATGGGAATCGAATCCACAGAAGGAATATTGAAACAGGGGATGGGTTGTGCAGTTTATTATTGCAGCCCATTCAATAATAGTACAATTTGGGGTTGCAAACCTCATGACAAACGTAGCAACTATGGAAATTATTTCCCTCTATAAGGCAATCTATGGAAGAAGCAAGAACATATACAGGTAGCCATGTGTTTGTAGTATAAGAGAACTAATCGACCTATTTCGTTCCGTGGGTTTCGAAAGAAGTTTCGAAAGAATAATTTTTTTTAAATTAAATTAAAAATACGTCCAACAGCTGGGCACAAACCTTGTCTCATCTTATAAAGATGATATAGAGAGAATAATAGATAAGATAGATTGAAAATTTTAGAAGGATCTAATCTAAGCGATAGGTCGAGCGTTCAAGTCCGACCTTCGTCTGCCGTAAAACACTACTCACTGGTAGTGAGAGGTTAACTTGAATATTAGATACGTTTGTATGGTCTTATGAATACTGTATTTAATTGATTAATTAATTTATTGTTAAGTTCACTAAGG